TGTTTCTTTGCGGACTTCTCACGTGGCCCAACCCATATGTTCCAATTATGTTACTGGGCTGCTTACAATTTTATAGGCTGACCAAGGTTCGGATAAATAACCTTCAAGCCCAAGGTTCCCACGGATTGGCAAAAATTGAAACCGAATTGAACTTTTCAAACAGCTCAATAAATTGTGATCCAATAACAGCAATAGATAATGGTCCATTAACAACAATGGATGATTTTTCTTTGTATATAGTATATACAACTGCCAGAGGATCACTCAGCAATGAAAAAACAAATTTCAAGGTCATATTATGACAATTTTGGCAGAATTCGTTAACGCATATTAGAGAGAATATATTTATCTATCTATCAAGCCAGGTGGTCTTTGGTCTCCATTTTGGTCCCCAATGAATAAATTATATAAAAATCCATTAATTCCCCTTACAAGGAGTTGGAAATGAAGGGCATAAATCAAAACTTGTTGATCAAATATTTGATTTTGACCTAAAAACTGAAAAGGAACATTAGTTCTGATATTTAAAAAGGAACAGGAACGTAAATTGAAGCAAAAATCTTTATCCAGTTGAAGAAATCAACGGAAAACCATTATAAAAAACAATATGATTTGTTCAGAAAAGAGGAGAATAAGAAAATTGATGCAAAAATCTTGTGAACTCACCGGAAAAGAGGTAGATCCAGTCGAAGAGGTCGCCGTTGCTTCGATACGCAGAGGTCGCCGTTGTTTTGATAGATTGAGAGGCAAGAGATTGGAAGACAAGAGGAGGAAGACAGAGGCGAAGAGTGAAGATTGAAGACAGAGGCGAAGAGAAGAGTGTGAATGCTGCAAGGCTGAGGAGTGAGGGAGGCGCGGCTGTAATGAAATGAATGAGTAATGAATTTGGTTTGGCTAGGGCTAGGGTTAAAGAATTAAGAATTGAAAACAAAAAATAGGAATACAGTACGTATATTCAACATTATAACCGAACTGCGAATAACGTATTTCTATTTTTCTAAATCATCATTGAACCATAAGATCTGAAAATCAAACCGAACCATGAGATCTGAAAATTGAATCGAACCACACGAAATGGATTGATTCGGACCGAATTGACGAATTATTTGCTCACCCTTAAATTTTTATTCAAAGAGACCATTCATTGTTTCAGAAACATTTCTGAAATAAAGAGAATATATATATTATATATATTCTCTTTATTTTGTTGTCAATAATGATTTATATTTCTTAGATCACACTAGAATCTACTATCAAGCATATTAACATATTTTTTTTTGAATCGTACTCCTGACTTGAATGATGCTTATGTTATAAGACCGTTTCACATACTCTAATGAAAATATATATATATGTGTGTGTGTGTGTGTTTCATTATCTTACACAGTGGTACACTTAATTTCCCGCCACTTGCATACTCAAAAGAGAATGTAAAATAAAATGTTTCAAAGTAATCATTTTTGCCTTGCACAGTAGTCACACGACTAATGTTGATTGAAGTTAACTGAGCAAAGATCATCCTAGGAATTGAAAATCAGTGATCATACCGAATAACATATAATGCCCGGAGAAAGTCAGTATGCCTCACTATCTTATGCCCAAGTGGATGAACATTTGCGTAGAGAATGGAATCCACAATCCATATTCGCTTAAGAAACTTGGATTCCGCGGTACTACATATTGCGCTTCCCTGTCGCAAACCTACCCTCACACAATTCCTGAATCAAACTCTCAGCACTCTTAGCTCTGGGAAAATGGTGTGTAGGAGTCAGCAACGCCTCTCATCTAATACCTGTGGCAACTTATGATAACACTCCAAGTCTACAGGATAAGCTCAATTATACATAGTGGTGTGAATTATATATTTAATTCTATATAAAAAGCACATGATGGATTGATTTCAACAAATGATTTTTTTTTTTTTTTTTTTTTATAAGTGATTTCAACAAATGAATTTAATTATAATACTTGCACAATAACGAAATAGAAGGTACTCTAACATGTCCGTCCCCACCATAGTCAGGGAAAAAAATATATTGAAATTCATAGCACACGGATCCTAATATTGTATGTGTCTATATATCCCCAGTGTATATATATATGTGTGTGTGTGGTTTTGTACTTTTTAACTCCAATATCCAACCCTTCTATATTTGTCATCAAAATCTTGAATCCCTTATCATCCCAAAACAATTTCTAAAAAAGTTATATTGATACAGTTTTCATCTTCTTAATGCTGATTAGATGGGGCGGTTACTTACATGGACACAATATGCTTGGATAAATTTTTTGAACCGATTATTATTGAATCTATTTATTTATGATTATTAGAAATGATGATATATGAATTGCCAACGTGGCTACAAATAATCTACCAAAACAAGTGAAATAACTTTTTAATTGTATTATAAGTTCATTTGCTTTGGTGAATTAACTTTTTAATTTTTCATTGATTTGAAAAGGGAAAAAATTCTTGCCACGATTTAATTTCCCTCCAAATCTATACTAAAAATTGAGAATGCGAAGGAAATAGTTTTAAAATGCTCCTTTGGGCTTGCACAGCAGGGTACCCAAGGACTATGTTGTATGCAAGCCTGTATTTTGGTAAATACTTGCTAGATCTTGACCGAACAACTTAGTTAATTATATAAACGTATTTTTAAGTACGGGTGTAATTTGGGTTGGGTAATCTGAACCCAAATCGAGCTCAATCCGATTTTTTACAAGCTTGAACTAGTATTTTTATAATTAAGATTGGACTTGGATTGAAAAATCTCAACCTGAACTTAATTAGGATTGGGCTTGGGTTAAAGTGATAGCAACCCGAACCCGAACCCGAATTCTAATATTATTTTCATATATATTTTTACTTTTAAATACATTATATATAATATTTAAATTATGATCATTTTTTTTATTTTTCACCGTCTTTTGTTAAATCTTAACTTATTGTATATTAACATTTAAAAAAATTAAATTTTTAAAAATTTGTTTGTAATTTATTAAAAATTTACAAAAAGTCTTTAAACTTTTATTATTTAAGAGTAATTTAATTTAAAACTAATTCAAGATCATATTAAATTTTCGGTGTAAAGATTAGCCACATGAGCAACTCGAATTAACCCTAAATTTTTACTTGGAATCTAAGCCCAAAGTACAAACCCGAATTTAAAAGTATAATGATGGGTTGGGCTTGGGTTGAGGATAAGGTTAGAGTTAAGCATAGGTTTAACTTTATACCATGTGTTGGGCTCAAGTTATATTTTAAATCCATCCGAGTTTGAAATCCGTATAAGTTGCACTCCTATTTTTAATAGGGATATCAATTTTTACCGCCCCACCGGGGACCCGCCCTGTTCCGCCCTGTTAATAACGGATATGGGAACACTTTTTATACCGTTGGAGCGGGCATGGGTACAAATTTTGTACCCGTCGAAGGTCACGGCGCGGGTAAGAGTTCAGTATACATATCATAGGGACCCCGCCCCACTAAGCATATAACTATATTTAATATATATATATAATATTAATAACTTATTTTAGCGACTTACCCAGTTACCCATCTCTTACAATCCTAATTTGGGATGTAAACTTGATATTAAATTTGTTTTTGTTTTAATTGTAGTGGAAGTTAGAGTTTAGAACTTCTTGTGATTTAGTTATATTAAACTTTTATTTTTATTTATTATGTTCTCTGAATTATGTTATGTGCATGTTATTTTTTTATTTTTGTTGGGATACATAATTTCATTTATGTTGTGTCATTTCCAGTCTTTCCACGTATAGCAGGAGCTTAAGTTTCAAAAAGTGAGAGAAAAAAATTTGTTAGCGGGGCGGGCACGGGGGCACAGTATTTTCCAACGGGGCGGGGCTAGACATGAAAATCCAACCCGTCGCGGGTCTCAGAGCGGGCATGGACTTGACAAAAATTAAAAAGGGCGGGGCGGGATTTAGGGAAACCCACTCCAAACCCGCCCCGTTGGCATCCCTAATTTTTAAGACACTACCAAATAGTCAAAAACTTAAAAAAAAAAAAAAAAAAAGCAACTACAGTAAAAGAGTTACTACCATTTGTACTAATAGTCTTACAATGTTATAACAAAAAAACCACCGCCAACACAAGACCTTCAATATTTGTGTTATAACCCGAAAAAAATAAAATAAAAAAACTCGTACTATTATGAAATCTGTTGAAAGACACGTGTCCAAATAATTAATTTCTATGCTAAGAGTATCTCTAATCGTGTTGTGTGTGTATATATATATTTTAAAATTTGATGTGTCATTTATATATTTTTTAAAATTTGATGTGTCATTTATATATATATAAATTGGATTATATATTTTTAGTTTCAACAGTTATTTTATACTTTTTGTGAAAAAAAATATCCTCAATAATAATCAATCAGTATCATGCCTTGTTAATGAAATGAAAAATAGGGGGGAAAAAGAAAATATGATAGATGTGATAAAATAATTTTATACATTTGTAGTATATTTTAACATATCACTGGAGATAAAAAAAAAAAAAAAAAAAAAAATTTACACATGTGACATTGTATTTTAATATATTGCTGAAGATGTACCTATATTAAAAAGAAAATTAAAAAATGCATGATAATGTTTAAGAATATATAAATAGCAAATGTTAGTAAAATATTAGTAATGTGATCGTGTGAAGTGCGAAGTCAACACATCGAATATACCTGCTAGATTTTTCGATTGGAGGTTCTCTTTTGGTGTCTCGTCATCAATAAGCATTATGCAATGCTTTCTGAATTGCACAAAAAAAAAAAAAAAAAAAAAAAAAAAAAAAAAATCAAATAAACAAAAAGTGAATGAATGTACTATTGGATTTTTATTCCTCCTCCTCACCTTGTTATTGACCCACATTACATCATGACCACTTAATAACTAAAGACTGTTTATATATATATATATATAGGTGTAAAAAAAAAATTACTTTAAATTTGCAGTTTTCTCCAAGTGGATTAAAAATCCAATCTTATCCGTTGATGGTCCTCACTCCATTCTCGATCTTCACTCTCAACAACATTTACATCGTCTCTCTTTCGAATTTAATTTCACAACCCAAGTACAACCCTATGCCATTGGGACACGAGAACCAAACAACCCTTCTTCATCGCTTGCCGGTACAAATGGTTGATCTCTACTGTACCTTCCTCGACACTCGTTCTGTCGCCAACTTTTCTCTCTTGGTTCGGTGTCAGTCACCCCAAAAACCCAAATCTGCGTTCCCAATTATTCCATCTCATCCCCCATTAAGAAGAAGAAGAAACGCCCTGCTCTCAAAACCCATTTCATCAACACCCTCTTCGTCGGACTTTGATATCATCTCAACCACAGGTACACTCCCAACTATCTCTAATTCACGTTTTTTATCAAATGAATTCATGCCTAATTCTGTAAATTATTCGATTGGTGTTATATTTAATCTCGAATTCTCGATACTCTGTCTGGTGGGTGTTTTTTTGCAGAGTGTTCGGATGGTAGTTTTGTGTTTCGATTCGGAGATGCAAGCGAGGTTGCAACAAATGTTGAATTGGAAGAACCGAAAATGGTTGAAGAAAGTCTGGTGAGTGACGATAGAGAAGAGTTCAAAGTTGTGAATGTTTTGGATGGAGAGCATGAGAGAAAATTCATTATCAAAGAACAATTGTTGGAAGATACCCAACAAATTGAACTACCTGTTTCTGAAGTCATTGGTGGTACTTCGTGCTCTGATTCTGTTCTTGGTTTTGAAAAAAGTGTACACACTGAGGATGAGATTAGTGTTTCTATTATTGAAAACAGTTCAAATGTCAAAAAAAGCGATGTCATTGAGGAAGTAATTGAAGAGAAGATTGAGGATGAAAGATTGCCTGCCTCTTGCAAGCCCGACTCAGTTTTTGAAGAACCCAATAGTTATGGATTGCCTGAAGGTTTGGAAAAACACATAAATGATGAAGTTAGGCGTGTGTCTGTGAATGCAATGGATCAGACTGTGGAGACTAGAATGGAACATTTGACTGATGAAGATAGTAATGAGACAGAACTAATTGAGGCAATGCCTGTTACCATCCCATTAGAGGCTGAACCAATTCTTGACGAGGTAGCAAGTTATGAGACATCTGAAGAAGCTATTGAAGTTCATTCAATTGGAAGCTCCATAATGGTTAGCTAAACTCACTTTTTGTTGGTCAATTGTGCAACACCCTTTTACAATGAAGGACATCGTGTAGTGATATTTTTGATAGGACTCGTTGTATTAACACCTTATATAAACAGAAGTATGCCTAAAGCACAAGAAATTATGATATTGTCGGTGGGCTCTTACCGAACATTATGCAGCACTCTTGAAGCACTTTTGATTTTAGTCAGCCGAAGCTATATCATTAGCAAAGCATATATGTTAGATGATCTGTTAGATGATCTATTCTTGAGTATGCTCACTATGTGCTTGACATATCCTATTTTATATTTGTGTGGCTGGTCCATTCATCCATAACCAGTGCAAGTTATGCGTGTGTGTACTTGTGTTATGCGTGTGTGTACTTGTGTAGGGGCTCAATGCTTACTGTTGATGTATGTCCTTGTGATTGTTTTAAATTTCCTGTCCCGAACTTGCAAACCATATTTCCTATCAGATGATTCTAGGAGCTGCCAAGCTCATTTTACGTTTTCTTATTGCAAAGTGCTGCTTTTATACAGCTTTTGGTAGAAATTCTGCAGTGTTTATCCATTTAGAAGATTAATGTCTCACATAATGTTAACAAACTTGACATTAAGCATGAGGTATTTGGTTTTCAGATTATAATGTGATTTAGTTCTTCCACATTAAAGCCGCTAAACACTTTTTCGTGTTCATGTTTTGTATAGTTCAATGACAGTTCCCCTAACTCAATCTCAGAACCAGAAAGAACTGAGGGTGATGCACATAGCAATGATATTTCAGAAGTATCAGTGCATGAAGCAGCAGAGTTAAATATTGCTGAAGCTGTTGTGGATGGGTATTTTGCTAATCCCCTCTCCCTGCGCCCACCATTTTTTTCTGGAAAATTTCAACATTTTGCATCACTGAATATTAAGCATCTCAATTTAGTGACATGTTTTACATTTTGGACTTACATTTGAGTTGCTAAACTCCATTACACATAGGAAGTAACATTCTTTATGTATCTTATTTTATCTCCTACCTTGTGTATCTGAGCATTTTTTGTCTAGTAAATATAACTACTTTGGCTGGGAAAATTAACTTTTATTTTTTCTCCATTCAGCTTTATGAGGAGAAATTTGTTCCTCCAAATCCTTGGCTGTGTCTTTTCTCACAATTTTGACTTAAGCTTGTTTGTCCTTCCTCTCTATTGCTGCCTTTAACTTGAATATAACTGTGTTTGTGTGTGTTTTTGTCCCTCTTTTCACACACTAATCTTAACACCCGAATTTTGGCTCCTTTCATTTTCTGAACATATTTTCTTAGTTTCCCAACATTGAACATGGTAAGACATGGTTGGCTTCTCTTCTGTTTTTTGTAAAACCTTTACTTCTGAACTCAATGGGTACGACACTTCTCCACCCCATTCATCCTATTTTTATTATATGGGTAGCACCCAACTTGATTCTCACCCTCTCTATGGATGACTGATTGAGTGGTCCAATGTCATAATATCTAACTTTCTGTATCTCCTGGCCTTAAATTTCTCATTCTAACTGCATATTTTCTTATGTTAAAATTACATCCATTTATATTCAATTTTAGTCTTGCTTATCACAAAACCTTTTTGGTTGAATAATTAGGGATGGAACTTGGATCAGGATCCCCTTCAATATTATTTTTTCTCTTCAGATGTGGTACTCAAATTGACACATAAATCTTAAGGGAGAAGTGTCATTTGCAAATACCAGTAACAAGAATTGGGGCATAATAGGAACTCAAAGTAAATGCATAAATAAGAAATGGCATTGCCAATGCCATTATTTCCACCAATCTGCTGTTTTTTCAATGTTCTTGTATCATTACTTATTAAAGATTTGCATATTTAATTCTTATTTCTTAATAAGTTTTACTTGTCACCATGGTTATTTTAACATTTTTAAACATGATTGTTCTTTATCTCTATTCTTTTTCTTTTTTTTTTTTCCACTTCCTGAATATTGTGTTTGACACTTCCTCGGTATACCAAAGATGATGAATTTTTTTCCTTAAATGGTCGACTTCTTGAAATAAAAAGCAGAGATATTTGGTGAGAAAACCAGTCAGCAAAATTTCTGGATGTTGGCATGTTGCTTAGAAAGGATAATTAATCCTCATATTTATGTATCTTTTGCTAAACAGTGAGGAAGCTTTAACAGCAGGATTTTTCCTATCCTCCGGTGCTGCTGTATTGTCGCATCCCTCTAAGGTATCTTCCAATTATTGATGTTACCTTTTCTTATTATATGTAATGTTTTGAACTAATAGATAATTGTTTTGTTGTATACTCCCTTTGTCCCATAATAGATGTCCCTTTTGGGGAGTAGAACTTTTTAAGGGGACATGCAATTAATGCATTGTCCCCTTTCAAAATTACCTTATTATTATTTTAAGTGTGAATACATATATAATTAAGTTTAAAACTCCAAGGGTATATAAGGAACGATGTGAAATATTTTGTTTGAATTTAGTAAGTGGACATGTATTTTGGGTCAACTCAAAAAGAAAAGATGGACAACTAAATTGGGACGGAGGGAGTAATATATAGGGAATTTAGAGTGGTGCACATCTAAGCTGAGAAATGAGTTAATGTTAGGATTGAAATTGTCCCAAGTCAAATACTGGGCTGGTCTAGTTTTATTTATTTATTTATAGCTTTCAAGTAAGAAGGAAACAAATGGACTCTTGTGACTATCAGTTACAGATTAACCGAGTCAATTTTGTTCGCATTTAAATTTGATACCATATTTTATACTAGGAAGTGTTTAGAATTTTGTAGTTTAGGACATGCCAGTTACTGATTTTGTTGGTTAAGCAACAATTAGTTAGTATCATACAGATCATTTCAACTTATTAAATGGAAAATACTCTAGATAGTATTTTGGAAGTATTTTTCCTCTTTTGAGGGCAGAAATAATGTTATATTTTAATCATGACAAAGTTGGTAGCTTCTGGCATTTAACTTCATCTGTTTCCATAAATTAAATATTGCTGGTAAGTAATTGAAAAAATAATAATAAATGCCAGGCATTGACAGGTGCAGAGGATGCCTATTTTGTTGCTCATCCGAACTGGTTAGGTGTGGCTGATGGAGTTAGTCAATGGTCACTAGAAGGTATTCCTTTGCTTATATGGCGCTTGTCATAGGGCATGTCAGCTTACAAATTTTTATTTCCTTTTCTTTTCAGATGGTTTTGCCAAAAGTTTGCAAATTTTGTTGTTTAACATATTAACAGATGACCCATTTTTAATTAGTGAATTTCCCTGCAATGGCTTTTAGAACTCTGTGTGGGCTATAAAAATTTCTGCTTTCTGAAAAGAATCTGTCTCTTCATTTTCTCTTCTTTTCAAATTAAGGCCTTGGCCTTCATGGTTTTATGCAAACACATCTGAGTTAAATTTAGTATGTTCCATATTATTGTTCAGGGACTACTCCAGGGATTTATGCCCAAGAACTCATGGAGATCTGTGAAAAGATTGTCATAGATTGCAATAGCGTTCCGATAACCAACCCTGAGGAGGTTCTAAATCGAAGTGCTGTGGGAGCACAGTCTCCTGGATCATCAACAGCTTTGGTTGCTTACTTTGATGGTCAGGTATAGCTATATCTTACCAAGATGCTTCTTTTGGTAAATGATTACAATGTTAAAACAATTTTTGAATGTGGTTATAATTTTTTGGCGTTATTTTGCTTTTAAGCTTCTACATAATAAAGTGCCAACTAAATCTTCTTGGTGGTCCTTGGCAGAACATAGAAGAGGTTAAATATTAGACTACCAACTTAGTTTTAAATGTCTTTAGCTTCTAGGTCAGGAGTTACTTTGATAAAATATAAAATATAAAACACACAAGAACTTGTCCATGATAGAAAAGTTGCTATGATGAGTAAATTGGAAGGGAGGAGTAGCAACATAAGAAAAGGAATGTTTCCCGGAGTAGGTCATTGGACAGAATCCAGGGTTTTTTATTTTTTATTTTTTTCAGAACACCATGTCTGCCACACCACTGTCTTTTCAATCTCTGAATTACTGGAAAGTACAGTCTGAAATATTCTACTTATTTTCTTTTCAATTTTACTTCTACAATAAATGGTGTATCTCGTATTTTTAACTGTGAAGCTTTTTATATGGCAGATATGAACTTCATGAGATATTAAATTGCTAACAATTGTCCACTTCTGAATGAAGAGCTACATAAAGAAAATACAAAAAGACATATGCTTGTGTGTACCCAAACTTCTGTAATCTTGAGTTAGTTTGGGAGATTATTTAATGATCAGATATTATAAAACTTTTGCTTACCTTTTCCAGAAAAAAAAAAAAGAAAAAAGAAAAAAAAAAACTTATTATTAAAAATAATTCGGAGAGTATCTGTTACTGAGAAAAGTCGATTTATTCATAAGAATTGTCCTGGATTTTATTTCCGGCATATAACTTGACAACCTAAAAGCTAATGATGTATTGCTTTGAAGACGGCGGCTTTTATGGCCACATTTCACCTCTCTTGTTGACTGACGATTTTGATATCCAACAGGCTCTTAATGTGGCCAATATCGGAGACTCGGGATTTATCATAATAAGAAATGGTGCTGTTCATAGAAGGTCTTCTCCAATGCTTCATGACTTCAACTTCCCTTTGCATATTGAAAGTGGCAATGGTCCCTCCAAATTTGTGGAGGTATGTCATGTTAGAACCTATACATGACCAGTGACTTGCTGTATCTTCCAGAAATTGATACTAGTTGAGAAATCTATGGGAATTTGATGTAGGCTGTACAAGTGTAGTTATTTCGTCTCTGTTTAGTATTACAAGCGATTAAAAATGGTTGTTTTCATAACGTCTAAAACATTTTCAGGGATACAGAATAGATTTGGATGAAGGCGACGTGATAGTCACTGCCACTGATGGCCTTTTTGACAATTTATATGAGCAAGAAATAACTTCCATTGTCTCCAAATCATTGCAAGCTAGTTTAAAACCTGAGGTACTCGGTCCTGAGGCAGTCTTCTCCATAATTTCTTAGCTTCTTTCTAATCATGAATCACTGCAGAAGGTATAACAGGGAGAAATGCGGCGGTTATGCATTGTTGACCCACCATTTATTTTTCTCTGCATTTTTTAATAATGGGTGTCTTACTCTGAAAGCATTTATTAGATGCATGTAGTTGTTACTTGGCATTGTACTTCAGTTTGAGCTTCCAAAAGCTTGAAACAAAAATACCATTCAGTGAATCGATTGATTCGTTTTGCATGCCTGTGTTTTTTTTGCAAAGTTACATGAATAGAACTTGCAACCAGGACTTCTATCCCCAGGCTCTGCCTACAGGGCACTCATCTGAGTTCTGCCTAGGCCCACAGTAATCCGAACTCGCAAATAGTAGCTTGTTATAATATTCACAACCCTTGCATTTCTTTCTCAGCGCTGTGTGGTATTTTTATTTACTTTCTGCTTTTCTTTGTTGTCCACATTTCAAATTTCAGGAAATAGCAGAAGTCTTAGCCATGAGAGCGCAAGAGGTGGGGAAATCTACATCTGCCAGGAGTCCATTTGCAGATGCAGCCCAGGCGGCTGGATACGTAGGATATACTGGTGGCAAGCTTGATGATGTGACTGTTATTGTGTCTTTGGTCCAAAATAGTCCTAGGTCTCAAGTGGAGTAATTTCAGCTCATCTTGTATTCTTTGTTTCTCTTTGTAAATACCAAGTGTCCCCAATCTTTTAAGATTGTTGACTGCATTTCCGGTGCTCGTGCATTCTTCTGATGTTAGGTTTGGTATATATTCTTTGATGGTTTTAACATGTAAAGCTAGTTTATACCTAATTCATCTATGCCAGTACTGGGCTGCATCCAATAGACTCTCTCTCTCTCTCTCTCTCTCTCTCTCTCTCTCTCTCGCGCGCGCGCGCGCACTTCACACACGCACATTTTCAGTTCTGTAGTTCAATTGAGTTAAAGGACTAAAGTGATGATTGATAAAGCATCAAACAGATGGGTGTCACGTTTGAATAACATAGAAGCTTAGGGTACTCCTAACCCTCTTTTCAAATAAATTAGTTTTCGTGCAAATCAAACAATTTTTTAACTTTGAAGTAATGCATCCAACAACCTATCAGCCACAAATCCATCAACATGAGCCGTTGCAGGGACGCAAGATTTTCAAAATATAGTTTTTCTGAAATATAAAAATGTTAAGTAAACTAATTACTGTCAAACCCCAAATGCCTCCATATTAAATTATATACTGTTTTCTGACAAAAACGTTTTGGAACAGAAATGACTACTCTATATTGAAGGGAGGAAATACATCTATTAGGAATTGGAAAAAGAAACAATGTACCCCAAATCCATTTTAACCTTTTGGCTAACACAGTTTTGTATGCTTGAGTTGCGTGATAAATAAAACAGCAGAAAGATTTCATACTTGATTGCTCAAGTTAAAACTAGAAAGAATTTTTTATTTTTTATTTTGGTATCAAATCTCCGTGTCAGGTTTTTTATACACATCAAACATTCTTTGGAATTTTTATAGGTAGTTCATAAGGAATAGAAAATGTGGTAAAACTGAATCCTTTTATGGGAGGGTCTGACGGGGAAAAATAAATCATTTTTCTCATTCGGTCAGATTTTTTTTTTTCTTCCACCCCTTCCCTCTTTTCAGTGGTATAGGACCTAAAACAAGGATAAACTGCCAATCCAAACTATAAAATTTCAAATTTTGCAGCATCACCCTAATGTTTCACAATTGCACATTACAATAAATAGAATCTTATTTGTGAATGTTCCAAATTTGTGATTAGAATGATAATAGGGAATTTTCAAAAACAAGATTAATCTAGTGGCATCCTAAAAAAAACACTCCCTCGGATTAACTCAATCCAGTAATTAATTTACATAACTCCACCTATTGGATTTCATTGAATATACAGGACTTGGTTCAACTGAGGAAAATAAAATCAACCCATAGATATTCAACAAATGCACCTTCAAGTTTCACAACCAAAACCAACCAACCCTTCAGCTAATTCTTTCTATTATCAAACAGTTAAGGTGTTCGAGGTCACTCACCTCCACATCCTCCTGCCCTTTCTCTTCTAACCCTTACAGAGTATGTGGAGACATGTTGAGTCAATCAACAGAAGGCTTCAGCTTGAGAAAGTTTAGAATAATCGAAGTTGCTCAAATGCAGCTTCACCAAAATAGACAGTCATGCCCTTTAAATTGCTCTGAATGTAACTTTCTTCAATCTGCATGTATCAAACCAGCTTCAACATGTAAAGGACCTTATGCAAGTTCAGATATTAACCATCACATGCAGATGTATAAAATAGTGGAACTAATACCTCAACATTTAGAGGAGGGGAAGACAGCCAAGAAAGTTCTTCCACTTGGTGTATGTTCATGTTTCGAGGTAAGACCATAATGATGGTAGATGTTATATTTTGTGCAACTTGAAACAATGAATACCTGCACATATAGCGCGATTAGAATTCCGAAAAATAAAGAACGATCTTGACTGTACATATATGCATTAGCGCTGACATATGACATCAAATGCACAATGCAAGTTGTTGAGGTAGGACTCAAGTAGTACCGAATGATGCCATCAAATGCACACCGCAATGACAATCATACCAATAATAGGATAGCAGATGGGCTGAGCTAAGTTTTCCAGGCCTAGCTTGGCACCCAGTTACCAAGGTTAAGCTGAGCTCAATCTGGTCTAGAGCTCAACCAACCGTGTCCAAATTCAACTCTGATGGTTTTAGACAAGCTCAGACTTGACTTGGCTAAAACCAAATTCCCAATTTTCTTTCAAGACTGGAATGAAGAGAAAAGAGAATGACAACTTTGAATCTCACTGAGATCAAGAGGAGAGAGAATAACCTCAAATTGAATTTGGAACCAACAACATTCTTTAGAAAGCTTAAATTACTGCAAACATTAGAAAATGCATAACGACAAAATAAGATCAATTACACCCACATCTTCACCCATGTGGACAAGAGAGAGAGCTCCATGACCTGTTTGAATACCATTTAGGTTAAGTACTGAAAAGATCTCTCCAGTTTGTGTAGATCCATGTATTTAGCTTGCTATAACATCTGAAATAAGACATTTTCTCCTAACTCGAATAATTAATGGATAAACAAAAGCATCTGCGCATACACATCCATGGGCTTCGGTAAATTGAGGGTAAAATTGCCAAATGATTTATGTGAGGGACCCTCCCACGGTGGTGCGAGAATGCTACATCTCCCGACCAAAACAAAACAAAATTAAATTCCAAAAAAAAAAAAAAAAAAGAAGGAATAGAAACATATAGCATAAAAGTAAAAGGAGATTTAATCTCGAGTCAATGGGTTCATTCGAGTCAGGTAATGAAAGAGAGAGTTTTCACATATTTATAAAAAAATAAAAATAAAAACAATATAATAATTGTAAAATAAGTCACTGTCTTCTAATGTAACCTCTGCCCATCTGTATTCTAAATACTTGAAGAAAATTCAGGAAGCCCTTTGAATTTACAGGTCAAAGTGCCTGGTGAAATGAAGAGAAAAATGTATCTCGAGGTAGATTCCTAAGTTTTATAAAAATCTAAGTTTAGCATGCTAAGTAAGATCCAAGGGAAAACAACAACTTAATGCATAACATCATTGGGTTCAGAGAGCAATTTAGAACATCACTCGAGGTTAGATCTTTCCATTTAATCTCATAATCTTCATCATTTGTCAAAAAAATGTTCTTGCTTCACATTATGTAGGAAATACCAAAATAATTTTTTAATTGGAAATTGAATAAATTAGGGAACAATATAGTACTTGTTTTTACAACAGTTTAGATTCCCAACACATTGATATTATATAGTCAGCTAATCTTTCATTTCTTGTCTTCTTTCTTCCTTTCCTTTTCCTTTTGTTTATTCTTCCTTAGGCCAACTTTAATTGTCTTTTCATAATTTAGTTTGAGAAAATTATGTGATAGCAAGACAGTTGAGTAACGGGGACTTTCAGTGACTTTCAGTGTCATCGATTGATATTATTTGTCAAGAAGATCCCAACTAAATAAGTTACACTGCTACACATCATAACTGAAACCAACACCGAGGCAATAAAAATAATCCCAAAATTAACCCATAATATAACACTCATTAAGGTCCTAAGACTCATGGCAACACATTATCAGCTTTTATAATAATTGAAATATATGTGCACCATATGAATGTAGAACTCCCTAACAATAACGGGCCCCAACCAATAAATTGACCGCATGCCCATTAAATGGCAATATGGATTAGAAACTACAGATGTACAAGCAAAGTACTATTCCAAAATTTATGGCATCTACAAAAAGAAAAACATTACCTTCAGGGAAGGTCCAAGTTGGAAAAAGTCTCCGATAATGAAATCAATATAATCTTCGACACCATATATCTTTGCATTGTTAACTGCCAGTTCAACTTTTCAAGGATCAATGTCGATAGTAACAACATGACAACACCTAAGAGTACACAGAGAACAATGAAAAAAAAACTTTCAATTCTCCATGTAAATGAGTAAATTATAAAGATTTACTGAAAGTCAGAAAGGATCACCCACATACATATATATAAGCAATTATTTTACTGCCACCACCAAAAGCCTGGTACGTCATCCACCTTTCCAAAGGTGAGCTTGAGGGTTCACGGTGGTGGTATGTGTTTGTGAGCATACTTGCCTACCAAAAACTATTTTTCCCACCTACTTAAGGTGCTGAAGCAAGAATGGACTAAAACTAACTTCACATTATACTTGAAAATGCATTATCACGTTTGTTAATTCCAACTGCCAATATTTCAACAAGCAATGGCCACCTATATACTACACACACACACACACACACTTCTCTTTTGTATCATATTACATACATCACGTTAATGTATTGTGAAATAATGGAAATCTCCTTCAGACATTTTATGTAAAGCTCTATGACTGACACATATTGTGAGACATATAAGAATTTACAATAAAGCTAATACATTTAGGGGTTCATGAAATGTTTATCTCACTTTGTATAATGGAATCAGAATTATGCATTATTATTTTCTTTCTTTTACATAATACATGATGCTAATGATTCTAGCTTTGTCAGCAAGCTAGAGAGCGAAAGGACTATTGGATCGCAGAGCCATGTGAAATCACATAAAAGAATAATTCAAAAGTAACAAAACAATCAGCTATAGATACACAACTAATCGGACTATTTGTTTGGCAGCATGAAATTGGTACCTTGGAGTTAGAATTGGAATCAGCAGTTCATGTTTCAAACTAATTTTTGTTCAAATGACTTCAATTCGATGCTATGAAACCATCGTGAGTGTAGTTAGAGTACATAACTACTTATCAACAGTACACTCTCAAATCATTTCCTTACAAATCGGATGATCCCTGTATGGCATTGGTCCGAAATGTTCATGCATTTTAGCACTCGATTTCTCTCAAAATTAGCACATTCCTGAAACCAATCAATTTCATTCCCCATCTTCACTTCACATGCTTAAAAAAAATTGTGTTCATTCGAAATAAAAATGCATTTTTGCTACCAATACCGAATGGTCTGAAACATAGAACTTACATTTTAGCGAATTGAATGGCGTTGCCTGACGGCACTCCGGTGGGCGTGCCTGACGGCAATCACTTCAGGCATAACGTAAAACCATCCTTCTTCGTCCTATTTGATGCCCTCGTCGTATCTCGAGAACAAATCATACCGTTGAAGCCAGTACTTCTCAACCAGTGGACTCACACTCCCTATAAGAGAGAGACAACATTTTATAAATATATAACACATACTTTTATACATCTAGAGAGAGTGTGAGTTGAAGAGTACCAAGCCGTTTTGAGAGGCTCAGTCGTCGTCGTCGTCGTTTCTTTGATCGACGACTTCTGCGTGAAACTGGGACTTTGGAAACGGTGGTCGGAACTCTTTTCATCCCCCTATACACACAGTAAATACGGAGAGAGTGAGAGAGAGCGGGTATGTAGCAGACTGTTTCTATCAAGTGAAATTGGCAAAGTAGATGGAAATAAGAAATAGTATAAAGAAGAGAAATACCATAGATAACTAATTTCAATATGGTGTGTTCGGGTGAGGGCAACTAAAAGCACAACTATATCAACTGGTGTCACTGATTAACCTTCCAATAGGTGTCAAAAACTAAACCAACATACATTGACTCAGAGCCAAAGATCAACCAACCAGTAGCCATCAAGAACAGAACCAAAATGAGAGACCGACCGAACTACATACTTCTGAGACCGAGACCAACTGTTGTGTATTTAATATATTAGCAAGTTGAGAGTAATTATGTCCCATTATCATGTGGATAATATATGTGCCATATATGGTGCATGATAATTAGCACTATACCTAGTCCCCATAGGGGCAAATGGGTGTGAGCTTCTTGCCAAGAGGGAGGGAGGGAAATAGCATCTATACCTGAAATATCACACAACCCAAAAGACTATCTTGAGTATGAACTACATGCGTGCAGTTTTCCTAATGCCACCCATGACGGCTTTGCTGTGTTTATACTTACAAAGATAAATTATAACCTAGTCAAACATTTGCTTGCAGAGTGATAAAAAAATTTAAACTCCACAAAAGTGATGGCAAAGAACCAAAGAACAACACGGCAGATCAGAAAAAAATAATAATAATCAGTGAGAAAATAAATAGACATTAGCAAATGATACATGCAAACTGTAGCACGGAAACAAGGGTATGCATAGGCAGTAAGGTGAATGCAAACATCGAAGCCAGAAAAAGAGACATCTACATTGACATTATGTAACTTTAGCCAAAATCATATTCTTCATGTCTGCAAGGTAGATGAAAACACAGTGCATACCTCTACAAGTTCCAAGAATATAATGCAATAAGACTCTATGTCTAATAAACAGAATTTCAGCGGAAGGGAAAAGCACGAAATGTCACCCAACAAGAACAGGAACAGTGAGCATGTGATTGTGGGGGGAAAAGGGAAAAAAAGATTGCAAACCAAAATATAGTACTGCTACTCATGACTTTATAGATAACTGCAGGAAAAATAGGACAATGCTGCTCCAATCTATTAATATTACCAAGGCAGTTAATAGTGATTTATAATGCAAAGTGTTTGGACATCGGAATAGAATGAACTAATTCCATAACATTCACATTACAATTCATATGAGTTCGCGTTGCTTTCAGTGCCTCTTCAAATAACTTCCCCCTGATATATAGGAACAAGTATGGGACTTCATGAAGTGATGTACATCAAAAATCCATTCTTGATCGGCACTAAATCCTACTGAAACGAAAGTGAACATCTTTATGCTTTGGAAGTTGGAACACACATAAAAGAATTCATTTTAAATCATAAACATCCAAATTGCTCCCAAAATCTTTTTATTAATAGAGTAGCATTATCATGAACTGTACAGAAAACTAGTAAAAACTTATAAAAGAAAACAGTTAAATATGAACAAAGTTACATTCCCATACGAGATCTCTGACCAAACATAAGAATATGATAACTCTGAGAACATTCAGCATCCAGAGCAGTTTGTGTAATATTGAAGAAATTTAGCAGCTATTGAAGAATTTTTTTAGAAAACTAAACTTTACATCAGAAATATTCATACTAGTGTAATAAAGCACAAAAATCAGAAGCAAAAAAGAAATAGTTAGAAAATGGGAAAATTAATGGAGTATTGGTATAGGAAAATCAGAAAAAATAAAATAAATAACGAAATCTGATTCTTGGGGTACCTGAACTTAAATTGCCAGTAGTGTTAGGGCTTTGGTTACTAGAAAGATAAGCAAAGCAAATCCCCATATCAATCTCTCTGTACTACACTTTCTGTTTCTCTTTGGATGTTATTCAGAGACAGATACGGGCATAATTTTACTCCCTCTGAAATGCCGAGTGGAGAGAGAATACAACAATCTTATTAAACTTCAAGGAATGCACCAAATATACCACGAAGCCATAAGGAGGTGCGATCAAACTTTTCAAGCAATGTCAACCTCATGTACTCAGATCATGCAAGCAATAGTGATGGTTTTACCAATCTTTTCAACAGAGGGATATGTAAATAATTGAACCACAATGCTGACAATATATCTACCATGCGAAAGCAGCCTCAATGTTCCTCTCATCCAACTTCATACACGAATGCAGCTGCTCAACAGTAAGGCAAATGTCATCACTCAATGGATGATATTTATCTCCTGCAACAAATCTACATGGCTTATTATCAACATTCACCAGGCTGTAACCAGCCACCACTCCTACCCTTTTCTCCTTCACCAACCATCTCATCCTTGAAGCATCATTCCATAATCCTGCAGCAGCATACATGCTTGATGCAAGCAGATACCCTGCCGAGTTTGATGGCTCCAGTTCAAGAACACGAGAAACGGCTCCTGCACCAAGCTCACTGTTCCCATGGCTTCTACAAGCACTCAAAAGTGCTCCCCATGCACTTGCACCTGGCTTCAATCTTTCAGGCATTTTTTTGATAAAATCCATTGCATTATCAAGTTTCCCAGCCCGTCCAAACAAGTCCACCATGCACGAGTAATGTTCTAATCCCAGTTCTGTCCCACGATCTTGAACCAACTCTTCAAAAAAAGCGAGGCCCTCCTCCACCAACCCACCATGACTACATGCAGATAAAACTGAGAGCATTGTTACTGGATTTGGTTTTAGACCATGACTTTTCATTTCAGCAAGCAAAGCTAGGGCATCGCTTGCAAACCCATTCATACCATACGCACCAATCATGGCACTCCATGACACAATGTTTTTTTTGGGAATTTGGTCAAAGGCCTTCCTTGAGGCTTCTACTGCCCCACATTTGGAGTACATATCTAGAATTGCGGTTCCAACTGCTACCTCTGCTGCCAAGCCTCTTCGAATTGCAATGCCATGAGCCCATTTCGATCGTTTTAGTTCAGCAGAAACAGAACATGCCTCAAGAAGATTTAACATGGTAACCATGTTGGGCTTTTCATGTACCCAATACATTTGTTGAAAGACTGCAATAGCTTCATCAGGCATGCCACAATAGGCAAACGCCGCTATCATTGTACTCCATGTAACTGTATCCCTTCTCTTCATTTGATTGAATAACCTCCATGCAAGCATAATGATGTTGCACTTTGCATAAGCATTGATTAAGGAATTCATCACCAATTCATTTAGTTCGTATCCCCGCCGAATTACTGTGGCATGGATGGACTTGCACTGAGAGGTATCTACAAAATGCTTGCATGTTTGAAGAAGATTAACCAGAGTCACTGCATCAGCCTCGAATCCCGCCTTCCTCATTGAAGCATATATCATTGGAGCTTCTGAATGCTTCTCATTACCGACAAAACCAGATAAGAGAGAATTCCATGAAACAATATTTCTTCTAGGCATCTCATTGAAAGTTTTAAAGGCAGAACCAGCATCATTGCACTTGAAATACATATCAACTAAAGAGTTTCCAACAAACAAATCATTATTGAAACCTCTTCGAATTACAAATCCATGGACTAATCTTCCCATACTAATATCCCGTAAATTATTGGAGGCCTTCAGTACACTTACCATTGTTTGTGCATCAACTTCAGCTCCAAAGTTATATACCATCTCTCTGAATAACCAGAAAGCAATTTGATCTTCCTCACTCTGCACATAACCCCCGATCATCACACTCCAAGAAATCACATCTCTGTCATACATCTCATCAAACAATTTACTTGCAAACTCCATTTCAATGTAAGCATACATACTTAAAAGGGAATTCTGAACTGAAGTAATAGCCCAAAACCCACTCCGAATTATATAACCATGTATTTTCAATCCTTCACGGATAGCTCTGACACTACGACATGCCTGAATTACAAGCACTAAAGTTGCAGTGTTCGGTTCAAATCCGGCAACCCTACCTTGCTTAAACAACAACAATCCTTCCACAGAATCACCCAGGTCCAGGTGCCCATGAATTATTATATTCCATGAAACAGAGTCTCTGTTCCTCATGTAACTGAAAACACGCATTGCAGAATCCAAGGCGTCAGATTTCACATAAAAGTCCATGACAGAATTTCCAATAGAAGTGAATGATTCGAATCCCCGTTTTACCAAACAAGCATGAATTGACAATCCATGTCTACAGGACAATTCTAAGCATGCTTTAAGAATGGGAGGAAACAATGAAGGGTCTGTCAGTTGAACTCCAGCTTTCATCATTCCATTGTAGTGGGAAAATACCTCTTGCCATTTCTCACTATATGATGACTCCTTTATCCTTAAAAACCAGTTGGGTAGTTTCAAACTGGAAAAAGTTATTGGGAGACGCATTGCCCTAAGCAAATGCAGGAGTTCATTTAGTCATTCAAGATTATGCATTATGAATGGGTGTTTTCACATTCCAACCCCATAAATAAACCTTCTAATAAACCTGGAGTTCTCATTTCACAAAATTTGGAATAGAGCATAATACCATCAATGAACGCATTGAATATGATGCAAATAATCCCAACATCACTGATGGATCGAACTTCCGAGAAATTAAACCTAAAGTATCCAATTTGTCATTCTACTACGCCAACGATCGAGGGGTCCAAGAATCAGCAATGATATTGCATTCCTCTGAACCCTAAGTACCAAAAGGAAAGAAGTAACACATCACAGATTAAATAAACCAGCTCTATACAATAACAGAAGACATAATTATTGAACTCCAAATTCGAAACTGTGATACAAATTTGTGTAGGAGATTGGAAAAAGACCACAGAAGGAAATAGATAATCTAATAAAACCCACGAGATGAGATTGACTGCTTACCAGAAATACGAAGACGATTAGCAGAAATACAGACTTCAAACTCGAATGAGCTTTCATATATATATATAGAGAGAGAGATAGAGTTGTTTCGGCAGGGATTAAAACGAGGGGTTCACAGACGGTCGAATGGTCCAAACGCCGTTTTTAGAGGCTCCGTCGTCGCTGCTTTGATCGACTTCTTCTGCGTGAAACTGGAACTTTGGAAACGGTGGTCGGAACTCACACCAAAACAGGCCTGGACCCTATTTTACCCATTTATCCCAGCCCAAACTGAAAGCCCATTACCTATCTTATCAACTTATGCGACATTTGTGGTGCTTGATAGTCATGGTTATTGTAGTTGCGGGTGCAATAACGCACATAGTGTAACAAAATTGGGTTTGTATTGCCCTTAAAAAAATTGGCTATATAATTTTTAAAATTCACGCATAATACGTAATTTTTTATAGTATAATTCCATAAAAATCAACACAGAGAGAGAGAGAGATGTGAGACTAGTATTTTTACATAAATTAACTTCCTTACACTGGCCGTTTGGCAACTACAATTGTTTTGTGTTTTTGCTTTGATTCGGAGTAGAAGTAATATTTTTGTTTTTTGAGTATGTTTAACATTATTTCAAAACTTGTTTGGTAATATAAATTTGTTACAAAATTTTTAGAAGCATAAACATGAAAGTATATTCAGTAAAAAGTGTTGCAAGTTTAAAATTTAAATAATTAGTTAAAAATGTTATTTTAGAATTTTTTTTTTTTTTAAATGAAAAGTGTTTTGTTACAGTGTGGGAGTCAAAAAAAAATCATTTTGATGCTTCCGATTTTGACTTTAATTTTGGAAGCTCTTTTGTATTATTCAAAAGCGCAACAAATATTATCAAACATGTTTTGTACTTTTTCTTCGGTACAGCACGTTAGCAAAAGCAAAAAATACGAAACAAAAGCACTAGACAAACAAGCTTCAACTTTATTATGCAATTTTTTTATATTTTAAAAGCATTGGCATGCATCAAATGTCTTTCTTTTTCTCTCTCTCCCTAGTTTCAATTTTATTATTATTATTATAATATTTTTTTCATAACAACCAAGTAAAGCATCTTTAAAATTGTGTTGAGAGAGAAAGATATGACGTGCATTTTTACATTCAAATCTTGAAATTAGATTGAAGATAAATGAATTCAAACTCTGAAATAATTTTGCTTGACAATTCAAATTTTATTGATTCAATTATGCTAAACAAAGTGATTACGTGTAGCAACACACTAAATATTCAAAATTACAAAATAAAAACCAAAAAAATGAAATATAATTTAATCAACTATTTAATTATTTACTAATAAGTCGTTATAATTTAGGGATTATCAGTTCTTGTACCCAATACCATTTATAAAAAAGGTCTTTTGATTGTCAGTAGACACTCAATTTTGATAACATTGACTTCAGGTAAAACATCTGCAAAAAGAAAACCGCTAACTCTAATCCTTCAAAATGGCACTCCACGTTGTAACCCATTTTTAGCGGTTTGAAAAATCATACACCCGTGTGTTTGTAAGTACCAAACTCAATTTGGAATTTTGCTTTGACTAAGTGTCTTGAGGAATCCAAAATTATGTTTGACAACAGTTTTTTTCCATTTTTTTTTTTTTTTTTTTTTTTTTTTTGATGCGAAATGGAAGCGAAGTTTATGTGTGGAGTATGTTCAATATTAATAGAGCGTATGTTCGGTAATGTTATGTTATATTTATTGTTTTTTAAAGCAAAAATATAAAAATTTATTTAGTAAAAAAATGTTACAAATTTTTTAAAGCAAAAAGTATAATTTTTTTTTTTTTTAACCCATGTAATAAGTTAATAACACTAAGCCTATTGGTTTCTAACACAAATAAATGGTATTTTAATTTTTAAATAAATAAAACATGACCCAATTGATGTACGTCACATGATACGTAGACAAGAGTACGCCAGCAAGTGGGGAGAGCCCAAATAAAAAAATTAGGCGTTTTTTAAAAAAGAATTCCATCCAATTGATCAGTGGTTAAGATGTCACAAATCACAAGTCTAGCAAGAGTCATTTAAATTTTGCAAGACAGTCCACCAAAAGTCATTATTTAAAGTAATCCGATTTACTTTCAACGTCGTTTTTCAATTGAGGACAGACACAGTGTGTGTGTAAATAACCAAGCAAAAGTCGCAAAAGGCTGGAAGTGGAAAGTTGCGTACGTCTGATAGTTGTAGAAAAATCCCCAAAATCAATGAGAAACACCCTCTCTCGTTCCATATATATTCCCAATCCATTCGCTACCTCTTTGCCTCAAAACCCTAACCTCGCTGAGGTAGTTCTGCAATTCCTTTATTGTAATTGAATTTTCATTCGCGTATCATGAATTTGATTCGTTTTTGTTATGTCTAATCGTTTGTTTCTTTGACAATTAGCTTCATTTTACTGGGATTTGTGTGGTTTTGATTGTATATGGAAATCGATGTGCTTTTGCTTAGTTTTTGGTGAGCAATTGTCTGAATTGTTAGGTTATTTAGTAATTCGTTGGCTATGGTCGCTATTTCTTTCTAGGGAGTACAGATTTTCCTGGGAAAATTTTTTGTACGGAGATTTAGATTAAGTGTAGTGAGTTTATTATATGGTTGGGTTAAAGCAGAGAAGACTTGTCAGTCAACTGGACTTTTCATTGTCGGGTTGTGTCCAACTTGAAAATTTTCTGTTCTTTAATTGATATTTTTAGATCTATTCTGTTGAGATATATAGGATTGGTTTCTGGTTATTTTGCATTCTTATTCATTATTTTTGTTTTATTTAAATGATTCATGTGTGTGCTTCAGTTATTTCTTGCTTTTAATTGTTAATTTAATTGATCGATTACTGATGTTTTAGCTGATTTTTCTTTTAATTGTCAAGAAAAGTGGGGAAAAAAATAAATAAAAGAACACTAAATTGGTTTTCAAATTTCATTTGTTATGTTGTTTGGCTTGTAGGATATGAAAATCTGACCCATCGAAGGCCTCTAATATCTGTAGCTTGGCAAGTTAAGGTGTATTTATTTATTTATTTTTGTATTTGGATTGCAAATTATGGTCTCATTAATCAAACAAAGCATACTGCTACTTTTGCAGTCTGTTTTATTCTATATCCGTTCAGAATTGTTCAAACTTCAAAGACATTTATTAGAGTCCGAGCAAAATATTTTCTATTTGCTTTCTGTGTGCCTGATGATGTGTGAGATATGAAGAGTGTGCAAGTTTCTTTAGGTGGGCATATAGTAGTAAGTTTGTTTAATTTTGTAAATTTGAAGCTTTTGACCATAATGGACGGTGGTCATTTTTATTTTTATTTTTGTATTTGCCTCTTTTGTTGGTTTCTTTACTACAATCTGTGACTGTTTTACATTGTTTAACATGAGGCACCTCCTGTATAATCAATCGACTTGGATTAGTTCTGCATAATATTTTTCTTAGTAACTATGCATCTTCCATTTATGTGGACTGTGGAGTTTTATTGTCTACTTTACGTTACTTTTTTTTTTTTTTTTTCAATTTCGACTACTTTTAGTATGACTTGTTTATCTTAAGTGTTCTCTGAAGTGGAAATCTTAGAAGTACTTTTTGAATGTTCTAGAATGCATAAAGGGAGGTTGATGGTTTTATTTTGAATATCTTCTGGAAGATGCATATCAATGTTGATATTATATGCTGAAGGTTTATATTTTTAATATTTGTAAGTCTATAATTATATCGGATTACCAACATGGATGACATTATTGAATTTGAAAGGGAAAACATGGAAGCTGTCTCTTTCTCTCTAAAATTGGGTGAAAGGATGGCTGTAAGCTATGTCAGGTTATTTAACTAATTGCGATAATTTTTGAATATATTCAAATTTCTCTGGCTTAGTGGTTATAACTTATAATTGCAATTCAGTGAGATTGACACTCGTGATGATTACTTTATAATTTCCTTTCCTTGTTGTTTTGAACTCAGCTTGATTGTTGGTGTACTGAATGGTCTACTGATGAACATGAACTAGACACAAGAATTTGACTTGAACGACTGGATGCTACTTGTTTTCCTCTGTTTTAGGAAAAGTTAAAAATATTCTGATGGGGGCTATATTCAGCCTTAATAGTACCAGGGGCAGGACGGGTGAATTTTATGAGGTTTCCCAGAGTGAAACCTGTAAGAGGCAAAGGACATCAAACTATTTTGATGAAAAGCCACGACTAATTCCCAGCCTTCCTGATGAGTTATCAATCCAGATTCTTGCCAGGCTTCCTAGAATTTGCTACTTGGATGTGAAATCAGTGTCACGGAGTTGGAAGGCTGCCATAACGAGTCTCGAGCTTTATAAGATAAGAAAAGAACTTGGAACAGCTGAAGAGTGGCTTTATATATTGACGAAGGTTGATGATGATAAACTTATGTGGTATGCTTTGGACCCACTGTCCAGGAAATGGCAAAGGTTGCCACCAATGCCTAATGTTACTGCAGAAGATGGATCTAAAAGGGGCTTATCAGGCCTTCGGATGTGGAATATGGTGGGATCGAGTATCAAAATTGCAGATGCCATAAGGGGCTGGCTTGGAAGGAAGGATGCATTGGACCGAATGCCATTTTGTGGTTGTGCTATTGGGGCTGTTGATGGCTGTCTCTATGTGTTAGGAGGATTTTCTAGAGCGTCAGCAATGAGCTGTGTCTGGCGGTATGATCCGATTCTAAACTTGTGGAGTGAAGTGAGTTCCATGTCTGTAAGTAGAGCCTATTGCAAGACCGGTGTCTTAAGCAACAAGCTATATGTTGTTGGAGGGGTTAGTAGGGGTCGTGGTGGATTGACTCCCCTTCAATCTGCTGAAGTATTTGATCCTCATACTGGTTTGTGGTCCGATGTCCCAAGCATGCCATTTTCAAAAGCTCAGGTGCTACCAACTGCTTTTCTGGCTGATTTGCTTAAGCCCATTGCAACAGGAATGACATCGTACAAGGGGAAATTATATGTGCCTCAGAGTTTATATTGCTGGCCATTTTTTGTTGATGTTGGAGGAGAGGTTTATGATCCTGAAACAAATTCATGGGTTGAAATGCCAACCGGCATGGGAGAAGGTTGGCCTGCAAGACAGGCGGGAACCAAATTGAGTGTCATTGTTGACGGCAACTTGTATGCATTAGATCCTTCTAGTTCTTTGGATAGTGCCAAGATCAAAGTGTATGATTACGAAGATGATTCCTGGAAAGTAGCTGCTGGAGATGTCCCCATCCGGGACTTTGCTGATTCAGAGTCTCCATATCTACTTGCTGGTTTTCTTGGGAAGCTTCACGTGATCACCAAAGATGTCAGCAACAACATTTCAGTCATGCAGGCAGATAGACAAAATAACTCAGGTTCTTTCCCATCTACTTCATCAACCCTTTTGGATGAATCCTCCCATGAACTTCCTGAATCAGTAGCAGGACCTGAAACAAATGTCTGGAGGGTCATTGCCACTAGGAGTGCTGGTTCGGCGGAGCTGGTTAGCTGTCAGATCCTTGATATCTAGAACTATGTCATTAGAATGTTACTCTCTTTGATGTCTTTCAATGTTGAAAAACTATACATTGTAAGTCAGTTGACATCACCACTATCTGAGTTTTATGACTTTCTTGTTGCCAGAAGTATTTATGATGTTTTGGAGTAATGATATATATATGTAAGTATTGATTTATAATGGGTGGCACAATGGTATGATGAATCCTTAGTTTATGGATATTGGAAATAATACGTTTTCTTCTACTGATGTATAAAAGATTTGTGTGAATCAAACGGAAGATGCTTAAGCATGTCTTTATATTGTTTTATCCTTCCACTGTTGTGAAATGTTTTTCTTGTTGCTTATTTGCTTTTGCAATATTGAAGAGTGTGTTAGGCTAGCCACGTGAATTATTATTTTTCTATTATAAGCCATATAACTATTATATTTAACTTTTTAAAATTATTTCTAATAGCGGTTTATTTCTTTCCTTCTTTGCAAATAAGTTTACCTTAGGATACATTTCATTAGCATCCATTGAATTTAATAATATTACCCAAGTCTACTTTATTTTGTTTTATTACCAGTATACATTACTTTTAGTTTCTCTCACATGTTGCGTTATGTGCATGCGTGTTTTTTTTTTCAAAACCCAACATTCCACTTTATATAATATGGTTATCTATAAGTTTGACAAGCAAACAAATATGACAAAAGAAAAGAAAAAAGAAGCAAATAAGTTTACCTTAAGATGCATTCATTAGCCTCCATTGTATATGATAATATTACCCAAGTATATTTTTTATTTTTTTTTACCAGTATTGGTCACTTTTAGTTTCTCAACCACATGTTGATTACTCTATTAATCTTATCTTTTTTGTCCATCTTAATATTTCAGTTTTAGTTATATGTATGGGTTGTTTTTGTTCCAGTTGGCTGTTGTGGTTTGATTAGCAAACAAATATGACAGCATAGCCAAATGTCTAAACAGCGAAAAATAAAAAAAAAATCAAATTACAATCCAAAGCAAAAACAACCCAATACTTGGATATATAACAATTGAGAGAGAGAAGAAAAAAAGGAAGAAAAAAAACTCCTTAAACTATCACGAGATTGATTGTTGCACGAATTGTTGGGTTGGGGCTATCCAACCCAAAAGATTAACCCATTAGGTGGAGTGTTTTTTGTCCAGATTTCTTTCTTGACCAACTGAAGTGCGACTTGTTCAACATCCAACAGGATCATGGCAATAGTTTGAAGTTTCTTATTGGTTAAATGAATCATATTCACTCGCAATGAAAGAGCAACCAAGAAAAGAGATGTAGATTATTATATTATTATTATAAAACGTAATTGATAAACACAATTCATAATTGTTAGCTCACATAACTTTCTCAAGAATACAAAATTTTCTCGTATTTTTTGTAGGAAAATTTTAAGGGAAATTTTGGTGGTCATGAAAAGTTCATTTTCCATCAAAATTTCCTTTTCCCACTATCCAAACTCTTAAAAAGTCAAACTATATATATATTTTTTCTCTTATTCTTTTGACGTACAATAAAAGGATCCTAACTGTTCATGAACAGCTCAGCTCAACTCGTTAAAAGTTCGGTTCGGGATTGTTCGTTGAGTAAACGAGCTGAGCTCAATCTCATTTTTCAAGCTCATTTAGTAAATGAGTTGGCAACACGAAATTGCGTTGCCAAACAACGCCTTAGTGTCTTAATAACGCTAACAAAAGTGTTTTTCTAATGCTTTTGCGTAGGACATATAAACCATATATATATAGTTCTTCCCTCTTCTTCTGTTTGAATCTCTCTCTCACTCACGCTTTTTAGGATTTGGGATAGGGTTTATTACTTCGTCACTTTTGCTGTGGTATAGTCTCTCTCTCTCTCTCTCTATTTCTTTATTGGTCAGTATGTTTATATTATATTTAATTTGCGATAATGTACCTGTTTAATCACAATCAATTGTTTTCTTTATATTTAGTTCTCGAAATTTATACATAGGTAGCTTCAATGGCTACTTTTGGCGTTGCTGCAAATCAGAATCCAAATAAATCGTTTGAGGTAATTTTCACTCAATTTGAAGTTGAATTTATTGCGTTCTTGGTGTGTGTGTGTGCATGTATATTTGTAAAAAAGATAAATATATATACACACACGCGCGCGTATATGAGTATTGTTAGCAGATATGATAGCCACGATTTATGGAATGACTTACCGTATTAGTAGAGATTTGATCATGCTATATAATATGCCATAGAATATTCTGTGATTTGATTTAAATTTGATTTAATTTCCGTTATTTTTATCTATAAATACTAAAGATGTGAATGATTGAATATCTCATTCAAGTCTTTACACAATACTCTCATTTCTCTCATTTTTCTTCTTTTTATATTTATACTCGGTATCAGAGCCAGGGTGGTTCGACTGCAATGAGGGCATTGCAAGTTCGGCACCACCCATTCGGGAATGGTCTAAGGTGACATCGCCAACTGGGAGTTGTCGGGTAGGCAAGGTAGTCTGACCTCAATGAGGGTGTTGCGAGTTTGGCACCACCTATTCAGAATTGGTCTGAGGAGACGGTTGTTTCTTTTTATGGTCTGAGGAGACATTGTTGATTCTTTCATCTACATTGTTTAAATATATGTATGAAGGGAAATGGTCTGAGGAGACATTGTTGATTCTTCCATCTACATGTTTTAAACATGTGTATGAAAGAAAATGGACTGAGGAGACATTGTTGGTTGTTTACGGTCTGAGGAGACATGATTGGTTGTTTATGGTCCAAGGGACATTGTTAATTGTTTATGGTCTGAGGAGACATTTTTGATTTGTTAATCGACACTTCATTGGAGAGAAAATCATCGCTAGTCAGATTTGCGCTCCATTTGTTACAAGCTCTCAGCAAATTGCAGACATTCTTACAAAAGGCGTAAGCAAGATTGTGTTTGAGAATGCATTGTCCAAGTTGGGCATTTCAAATATCCACGCGTCAGCAAGATTGTGTTTGAGAATGCATTGACCAAGTTGGGCATTTCAGATATCCACGCACCAACTTGAGGGGGAGTGTTAGCAGATATGATAGCCACGATTTATGGAATGACTTACTGTATTAACAGAGATTTAATTATGCTATAGAATATGCTATATAATATGACATAGAATATGCTGTGATTTGATTTAGATTTGATTTAATTTCCTTTCTTTTTATCTATAAATACTAGAGATGTGAATGAGTGAATATCTCATTCAAGCCTTTACACAATACTCTCATTTCTCTCCTTTTTCTTCTTTTTATATTTCTACTAGTATAATATGTACATTTTTGTATCTTTATGTGTTCATTCATATGCGGGTGATGTATCTTTGTGTTTATTCTGCTTTGGTAATTTTTATTGTATACACGTGGAGGTGATACAACCTCCAAGTGATTCTGTTTTGAGCCTTAGTTTCAGTCCCAAGGCCAATCATCTGGTTGCAACTTCATGGGATAATCTGGTTCGTTTCCTTGAATTTTGGTTTTTTTTTGGGTTATAATGTTAACCTTCTTGAATATTTATTGATATGAATTCCATTTTAATGTACATGATCTTAAGCCAATTTGTTTGGTTTCTTCAAGAATGTTGGAATAGAAACAAGATTGAAAACTTGGAATTTCTTAATTCTCAGTTGTATGGGGACATGAGAAAACTGAATCCTCTGTCAAGTGAATCTTAAGAGAGATGTGGTTTTGGGTTTTTCAGTTTTTAGAGAAACTTAAACTGCTGAGTCCCAAGAATGTTTGTTGCCTTGGGCTGCAACCAACGATATGGTTCTTTTAAGAAATTGTAGTACATATTACAGGGACACTTTTTACTTGTTCTCTCTAAAGAAGATGCTACAACTTTTTCATTTCTTTCATTCTGTCTATTTCTGCTACAATGTAGGTTTTGTTTGAATTAATAAACTAATATCCAATTCCATCTTGTTTTAAATCTCCATAGGTACGATGTTGGGAGATAATGCGGAGTGGGACTACTGTTGGCAGTGCGCCCAAAGCATCAATGTTGCATGACCAACCGGTAATATATATCAAATTTTCATTAATTTTGGAATAGACTTTTTGATGTCTAGAAAATTGTTTTTGATAGTTAATCTTTTTGAAGGTTTTGTGCTCAACTTGGAAGGATGACGGGACAACTGTCTTCTCTGGAGGATGTTACAAGCAAGTGAAGATGTTGCTGTTGTTATCTGGTGGCCAACCAGTGATTGTAGGCATGCACGATGCACCCGTAAAGGAGATAGCATGGCTCCCAGATATCAATGTCTTAGTTACAAGAAGTTGGGATAAGACTCTGAGGCAAGAAAAATTTACTTTTCCTTTTTAAAATTGTTTTGAGAGATAAGTAATGCAGTAGGTATGTCGTAACGGTAATGGTTATTGTGATATTGTGGCCCGAATTTGGTGTCAGGTCGCAACGCGACTCGACGACCCGTTGGATGAGCTTTGTGTGGGCCCAAGCCCACCAAAGGAAAAATTTTGACCCGGTTTTTGCTCATGGGTCGTGGACCCTAATTAGTCTCTTGTAGCCCATTATATAAGGCCGCTTAGGGTTTGGAGTGGGGTAAGAGAGAGATTCTAAAATTTGTACAGAAACAGAGCGAGCGGCTGAAAACTTGTAATCTCCGATTTTACACATAGTGAAAACTTTCACCGGATTCCAACCGTGGACGTAAACTGTTGCCGAACCATGTATAAATCTTTGTGTTCTTTGTGTGGCGTGTTTATTTTTCTGTTGTGATTCTTGATTCAACTTGGATTCGTTGCGTTTGTCATAACAGTTATGGTGATATGAACAGAGTGTAATGGACATGAGATTGACGGACTGGCTATCAGAGTCTCTCTCTATCTCTATTTTTGTCCACAAGCTCTTGAAAATGATGCACCTTTTTTTAGTCCCAGAAGCCTATGAATTTGGGCCTTTATTAATTTCTGTTGAATTTTATGAAGATAATTTATATTGATGAGGATTATATATTTAATTTTAAGTGGTGTGGATGTTAGAGATTTTTACTTTACATTACTTTTATGACAAAAAATGCATGCAAAACATGAAAAACAATTGGAAGTTATGTTAATTAGGCTTATCAAGTAAGTTGTTTAAGAATATGAAATTAAATAGTTGAGGCCATGTCATGATACCTTTT